CAAGAGGAAGGCCTGGGATGAGGCCCACACCAGACAGCTGGACTGAAAGTGACCCCGCTCTGGGCTATGTGGGGATCCAGACAGACCTGGGCTGGCCAGGGGTAGACCTCGGAGGCTAATGGGGCAGAAGTGGGGACATGAAGCCAGGCTCTATCCTTCAAGTCTCAGCTTGGGTCATCTCCTCTCGGGAGCCTCTCCCAACTCCCAGCCCATGCCGACTGCCACCTCCCCTGAGCTCCTCTGGCTTCTCTGGTGATTTCTGGTGCCTAACACGGTGCCTGTGAATATTTGCTGATTAGTCACCCTCTCTGGCATGCTGGCTGTGAGCCAGTCACCAGCGAGTCCCCAAGGAAGGCATGAGCCTAGTCACTCCATCAACAAGGCACTAGAAGCCTCTGTGGCCTGGGCCTTGCCCGGCCTTGAGCTCATCCCAGCCCCTGCCCTACAGGCACCCACACCCCGCTCACACCTCTCCCTGAAGGCCCCCATGTCCCACCCTTCACGACATCCTGATGGGCACAGGAAAGTAGGAGACAAAAATCCCTAAATAATGTGGAAAATCACCCACAATCTTATCATCAAGGTTGACATTTTGCTGTACTTACTTCCTGTCTTCTTTCTCCTTCTTTCTCTCTTTTTTTATTTTTCAAAACACTGAATTAGGTACACTCTTGCGTACCCGCTTCACCCATTCACAGGGTGTGTGCTGAGCATGGACTTCATTTTCCCACACACCACATTTCAGCAACATGACGTGGCTACTCACAATTCCCTGAGTGTACCATAATTTAAAAAGCCGATCCCCTCCGGCTGGGCATTTAGGCTGGTTTCAATCTGGGGCTATTACAAACAGCAGGGAGTTACGGCCTTGGGACATCTTCCTGGAAGGTGCATTTCTCAGCCAGGGGATACCACACGCGCTCTTTGGAGACTCTGAGCCTTTGCACAGGCTGTTCCCTCTGCCGGGCTGTCCCTCGGAGTGCGCACACGGCCCCCTCTGCAGGGTCCTGGCTGCCTCTGCTGCCCCCTCCTTGCCCTCAGCTGCCCTCTTCTCCCTGCTGTTGGGAGCATCTGCCGACCTCCGGCCTCTCCCGGGGCCGACAGCCTGCCCTGGCCTCCAGCACATAGTAGGCGCCTGGGAGATGCTTCCCAGAGCGAGCCATCTCCGGCTGGTTCAGCAGTGTGGGACTGTGTGGTGTTTCTATTAGTCTCCATGAACAAGTGCCACTGTGTTATTAAATTTTTCCAAAAGCAGAATGTCGGCTGTGTTTGCCAGAATGGTTGCTCTTTTAGGAGCGGGTCTGTCCTGCCCATCCTGCACTCCTCATTTTCTCGTGGTTTAGAGCCCATTCGCTGGGCACCCAATGAGTGCCAGGCCCTGCGGGTGCAGCCCTGGGCTCTGGGGAGTCTGATGTCCGGGGTGCAGCCAGGCCCAGGGAGGCATGAGGGTTACACGAGGCAGGGTGGGTCAAGCTCAGTGTAGCTCAGGACTCGGTGCCTGGGCCCTGGTGGTGCAGGCGATGGCGGGTCCCACTGGGGAGCTCAAGCTTTGCTCCAAAGGAGCTGCTGAGCACCAGGCATACAGTAGGTGCTCAATAAATGTGTATCCAGGGAAGGTAAGAGATGGTGTTCTGGGAGCTGAGAGGAGTTCTGGTAGGATGGACGTGGTGATGAAGCTGGCCTTGGAGGACAAGTGTCACAGGAACTTCCCTGCTCTCAACCCAGGGACCAAGAAGGCGCATTCTTCCGAGTCCTTGGGCATCTCCTGAGGCCACAGCCAAGCTGTGGCTTCGTCCCTGGCAGGCAGCAGGTGGAGTCTGACGAGAGGCTGAGCCCAAGGCCTGTGCCCTGGGCGGGCAGGGCAGTTTTCTCATCTCCCTCGCAGCCGTTGTGCCGGAAGCCCGCAGCCCAAGGAGGCGGGGGAGGCTCCCGGGTTGAGTTCGGGATGTTCTGAGAGAAAACTGGGGCCCAAAGACAAGCAAGCAGGAAGCGGTGACCACCTGAGGCCTCCTCAGGCAGCCCCTGCCCACTGGCCTCAGGGCCCCAGGCTCCCATTCTTTCCCTCCACATCCCTTCCTCTCCCCTCCAGCCCCTCCTCCTCTGCCCGGGCCATGGAGTAGCTCTGAAGAGATAATCCTGACCAGGTCCATCCCTGCTCACAAACCCTCTGTGGCTCCCCACTGCCACCCCTACCCCGGGATCCAAGCCTCTTCCCCACCTGGCGTCTGCTCCTCATCTGGCCACCCCATCTTCCCTCCTCCCTACTCTTCCTTTGTCTCTAACCCACCGGGCTCACCACCCCAACATGCCAAGGCCTTCGCATGTGCTGTTCCCTCTGCCTGGAGTGCCCTTCCCGCACCCTGTCTGCTTGGCGCGCACTCACTCGGCTGGGCGTCTCCGCCTCCGGGAGCCAGGTCCTTTGTCTGCATCTCTCAGCGAACTGGGCTCCCCGTGAGGGCAGAACAGGCCTGCCGTGCCCCCAGGGGGCTCTTGGTGCCCACGTCTGCGATCTGAGGAACGGAGCGGGAGGCACCGCGCTGTGTGCGAGTCGGGGAAAGGGGACCCGCAGACATTTGTTGAAGGGCCCTGAAGGGCCGCACCCCTTCTCATCTCCTTCTCAGCCACAGCGACCTGCACCCTGACCTCGTGGACACCCTTCCCACCCCGTTGGGGGCTAGAGGTCACAGGGGCCTCTCGAACTCCCCTGGGTGACTGCCCGGGCAGGTGCTGCTCGCTCCTCTCCCCCTAAGGCAGGCCCTTCTTCAAACCGGGTGCCGGGGCCTCCAAGGTCCTAACTCGCTCGCCTGCCCCGCTCTGGCTCTGGGTGGCCACCACCTGCCCAGGGACTGGGGACCTGGGCCCCCGAGTGGAAGAGATGGGGGCTCGGAGATGGACCCCGGCCTATTCTGACTAGGAGCTGGGGTCCAGCCCCTTCGGAAGCGGGGCGAAGGGGGGAATCCAGACCCCTGGCAGGAGGGGCCCGAGCATGGTGCCCCGGCGGCCCTGGGAGGGGGTCCGGGCCTCGGGCGGGGCTGCGGCGCCCCGGAAGGAGCCGCGCACGCCCCTGCACGCGGTGCCCGCCGCGGATCCGGAGGTGAGAGCGCCGCCGCACCGCCCAGCCGCGCGGCGCCGGGCGGGGGCAGCGCCGAGGGGCGCGGGAACGAACGGGAGAAAAACGGCCCTTCATTTGCGCAGCGCGGCCCGCTCCTCTCCCGAGTCGCCGGGCTTCCGCGCTCCCTTCCCCTCCGCAGCGGAGTGGCGCCGGCGCGGGCGGGCCCAGGGCGAGGCCTGGCCGGCCTGCGGGCGGCCTGGCGGCGCGCGCAGGGCCGGATCCTAGACGCGAGGCGCGCCGCCTCCCGGCGCGGGCGGGGAGGCGGGCAGGGCGGCGGCGCGGGGAGGCGGCTGCGGGAGGGGAGGCTCGGAGCCTCGCGGCGGTGCGGCGGCGAGGAGGGCGCGGGGAGCCCCCCGCCCCCCGAAGGAGGAGTCTGGCTCCCACTTGCAGCCTCGGACGCGCGGCGAGGCGGCCGCCGCCGGAGGAGCCCCCGCCCCTGCGCGCCTCTCCCGGAGCCCTGCCGTCCTCGTGCGCGGCTGCTGCTCGCGGCCGCCGCGGCCGCCGAAGAGGAGCCCGGGGCCAGGTAGCCGGGGCGGGCGGGCGCAGGCGGGGCGCGACGGGCGCGGGCACGAGAGCGGGCCGGGCGGGGCGCGGCGGACCTTACGGGCGCGGCGCTGAGCCGGCGGCTCAGCGCAGGGGCGCCCGCAAAGTTACTTTGGCCGCCTTTGCCAGGTGCCGGCGCCCGGCCGGGCACCCCAGCTGCCCTGCCTGCCGAGCGGGCGCCGGCAGGAGGGGCCTCTGCCGGGGCGCAGGACTCTGGCTGGGGCCGCGGGGTCAGCGAAACTTTTCCCTCGCCTGCCAGTCCTGCTGGCTGCTGGCGGAGTAGCTGGTGGAAGACGGGGGCTGCCGGGGTGCAGGCGATGACGACGGTGGCAACAATAGCCGCCCCTGGTTGTGGAGCGCCTACTGTGCGCAGCGAAGCCCCTACCGGCACTTGGGGCGGAGGGAGGGGAGCTAAAGCTGCTGGTCGAGTGGCCACTTTCGCTAGGTTTTGCTGGAAACTTCATCCATTTCCGTTCATCCATCCATCCATTCATCCATCCATCCATCCATCCACACACTCATACAACACACATTTATTGCCGCCTGCTGTGTGCCCTGCCAGGGGACCGTTGGCTGCCCAGACAGTATTTCACGGCATGCCAGTGCTAAGGAGCAGTTCTGTCTCTTGCGTGTTTGTTCTGGGACTGTTGTAGGAGAGTGAATTCATGCACAGTCTCCCTTCACCCTGGTGGGGCCCGAGAAGGGTCATCTGAGAGCTGATGCGTCCAGGAGTCTGGGAGGCCACAGCTTGGGGTTGGGGACCCACCCTCCTCCGTCCCCTCCACCCCGCTGGGCTCATTCTGGGTGGCCCAGGCCCAGGCGCCGTCTGGAGGCCCCACTCTGGACCCGGTCACCCTCCCTGCACAGCTGACCTCTGTGCGGTGTCCCTCCCCAGAGCTGGGCTGGCCTCTCTCCTGGCTCCAGGAGCTGCCCCCCCCCCATGTCCACTGCTCCACTGATGGCCCGAGGAGAGCTGGTTAAGTGGCAAACAGTTATGAAATTAAACTGCGGGGACCAAAGTGGCAGGAGTTGAATAGCAGGGATCTGCTGTGCTGGGGGCGGGGTGGGGGTCATGCAAACACACCGTCAATGCTCAGAATGGACTTTGAGAAAATAAAAAAACCCCCGAACTTCGTGAGTAGTCTGGCACAGGGCTAAACATGCCTGGGGGTGTCAGGGAGGCCACCGGCTGTCCACTAGCCCCAGCTGGAACTGAGGCTTTGGTCCAGGAGAGCCAAAGCTCCAAGAGGCCATTTGGGGCGGGGGGCTCATGGGTGGGGCTGGGCTGAGGCGGGGAGGACACCAGGGCCTCAGAGAGGCTTCTGGGGAGCGGCGCAGTCTGCAGGGCCGGCCGTGCGGGAGCCAGGCGTGATAAACCCGCTTTGCCATGCCGGGCTCCTGCAGACTGGCTCTCCGAGTGGCAGCCCCGCAGCACTTGTAAAATCCTCTTTCTCAAGATGAATTTCAGTGAAATGGCTACATCTATTCGAGTGCTCACTCGTTGGAGGTACATTAATTGGCTGATGGCTAGTCAAAAAGCGATGAGCCAGTTGCAGGGGTTTAATCCTGTGCTTGGAAGTGTTTCAACGCGGGGCTGCCTTCCTGTTTATCCTCGGCCCCAGGAATTTTGGAAGACCTGGGTTGCATTAGATACCTGTGTCGCTGAGGTGAGCAGGCTCGGAGTGTCACCCACATGTCAGAGGAAGCACCCATGTAGCCACTGTGTGACATGCTTAGAATCACTCACGCACCCCCAGCCACTGCCCTGTGGGCTGCGTCTCTGGACAGATAAAGCAGGTCTGGGTCTGGGGAAACGACAGTAATTTTAGGGTGTTTCTACTCAAGCCCAAACTGTCAAGAATACACAGACCGACATGTGAAATAATCGTTTAAGAAAAGCCTGCTTTTTGAAATTTCCCAGTCCACCCGGGAGACTATTAAATCTTCACCCAATGAAATTGATTTAAGTTCATCTGTTCTCCCTGGAACTTGCCGCCTTCCCAGGCAGGCGGAGCAGCCCCTGGTGAGCTCACCCCGGCCCGGACTCCTCTCCCCGCGCGTTTGAAGAAGGAAGGGTGGCTGCTGGGTTTCACCGAAGGGGAGCATTCAATGAGGAAAATCAGCATTCCGGGTGCGGGTTCTGGACTTCTGGAAAAAAGACAGCCCTCCCCAAAGTGCAATCATCTTTTAATCTATCAAAATGACTTCATTTTTCCAGTTGCAGGCCTGTGAACTGATCGTGAATAGCAGGGCAGAGGAAATTAATCGCCCAGGCAAAGACTTTTAACAAGTAAATATTATGCACAGAAAAACATGCAATTAGTGGAGGTTAGTTAATGCCTTTCAAGTTTCTGCGAGCTGCAGCTACGGGTGGAATTTCTGCCTTATCCCTGAATTGTCTGTCAAAATCTTTAATGTGACAATGTGACATGTCTCTCCCATCGCCCCTCCCTCACCGGGAACAAAAAAGGGTCTTTTCACGAATTTTCCCTTTCCATTCTTCTTCTCCCTGAGATCTTGCCGTTCAGCAGTCAGTACCTTTGTCTGCTGCACCCCTGGGGCGGGGGTCCCTGGGGCAAAGGGCTCCCCAGGTGCAGAGGCCCACGGATGGGCTCTCAGGCTCGCTCTGTCCCCACAGGTCAAAGTCGATGGCACCTCAGATAAGACACAGGCCTACTTGTGGGGTCTCCCTTCTGGCCTGGAGGCCTCACGCTCGAGGACCAGATGTGCCCAGTGCTGGCGGGGCCGGGGAGAAGGGGGGTGAAGGGAACGTTTCTTGCAGGGAGAACCGTTGAGGTGCTGGGGCTCTCTGAAAGCAGTTGGCTGCAGCCCCCTGTGGCTGGTGTGTGGATGTCCCCACAAAATGATGCCACCAGCCAGCATCCTCTCCAGACTGCCACTGGACTTGTTTGACTTGGGTCTGAAGAGGCGACTCAAATGTCAAAAGCAAAAAACAACCCCAAGGGGGAAAAATATAAGAGGGCCCCTTTTGGGGATGGTGGTGGAAGGAAGGTATAAATATAGAAATAGTTTCTCGGTTAATTTGATTCACAGTGGCTCTTCCTGGTGACCGGACCAGTCTGCGGCCAACACAAATGTTTTACTTTATTTTGACATTTTTTTCCCTGATGAAACAAGACTTAGTTATGTTCTATTTCTGTTTAAAATACCTATGACGGATGAGGGCAGCCCAATCTTGTGAAACAAATCGTAACAAATTGAGACGATATGTATTAATTTTGAATTCAGATCCCCATTTGAGGTCTGCCTTGGTCCTTCCAGGCCTTTCTCTGAACTCCCCTATGGGGGGTTTTCTTGGGCATGAGCTTGGCTGAATTTAACGTCAGAACCTGGTCGTCCTCATACACAGAAGCAGCTGCAGGAAAGGAAAAAAATCTCCCCTCTGGCTGGCTGTGATCTGCATCCGGTTCAGAGCCAGGGGTGAGGAGGGTCCTCTTTCTGCCACCTGTCTACCCCTGGAAGTTTGTTTCTGCGGTGTAACTTGTCTAGGGCTCATCTGCACATTTCCCCCCTTCCGAGAAGGATTTGAGGTTCAGCACTGATGCACACGAAAGGACGTTTGGCATCGCCCATGCTAATTTCGTCACTTTAAGGAGAAAATGATGCCTGCTTCCAATTTCCAACACTGTCATCATTTCCCCTTCATTTCATTCTTTTGCATCTTCTGGACAGCACTGCAGTCTGCAAGGCTGCGAAATATATTGCCCCGGCTACCTGAGACACGCACGCCCTTCCCGGAACCCTGCCTTTCCCCCTTCCTAACGAAGCGCTTTTCAGTGTTTCCGCGTTCATGGAAAAGGCAAACGTCCCCTCCCCCACCCTTAGCCCACCCTGGGCTCCCTGCACAAATGGGTGTGTGTGGGGGTGTTGGAGAATGGAGTTTTGCTTTTGTAAGTTTGTCATTTGGACACATTAGTTAATTGATCATACTTTGGAGGTTTAATCCTTAATTGCAAATTCCAGCGCCATCACAAAAAATACGCTCGAACCCATCATAAAAATGGCAAAACCCCAATCTCAGACTTAAGTGTAGAATTACCATAGTGCCGATTTGATTATGCTTCAGTGACATCTGTTTAATAGATTTCCACGAGAACTGTAAATCCACATTTACTTTCTTTGCAAATTGTATTTGAATGCTGAGCAACCACGACCCTCCTGCCTCCTCTCCTCCGTAACCATGCATGTCCCAAACCCCCGTGAATGTTGAGTGTGACTTGACGTGTACGTGGGACGGGGACGCAGAATGCTGATCTCTACACATTTCCCTCTTCCTTCCTTTTGTGTGTGGGTATGTCTGTGTGCATGTCTGAGACGGATCTGAGCGGCTTCCCATTTCAACTCCACAGATACGTGACTCTCCAACTGCTTTATTTTGAAAACTAGGACATAGCACTTTGCAGAAGAAAAATCAGTCCACTCACTATTATTTATGTGATTGCTGATCTGCTAGATGGATATAGAAAGCACCAAGAATTATAATAATTTATGGAGTGAAGCGCTGGTTCACAAACATATCTCTGTGCCCGAGCTCTGTGGGTTTCTCTGCATCTCGGGCCTCGTTCTGTGCGACGGGAACGGAGGATGTTCAGAATTTGAAGACAGGCCGGGCAAACCGACCGCATTCATGTCTAAAATTAAAGGAATAAGTGAGCAGCTATTTGTGGCAGACAGGACATGATCCAGTAAGTAGCACTCTTCATATTCCGAAATAAAAGTGCATAATTGGAAAATGAGGCGGCAGAGACTGCCGGGGTGGTGGTGGGGAGGAATTAGAAAGTGTAATTTAAAATCATGTAGTCATAATTCAAAATGGGCCCAGCTAAAAGGTTTTTAAGTGGTAAATGCTTTAAAGTCACTTGTGGTTGATCCTTTTTCAAGGGATAGGGTCTAATTTTCACTATATTTGTGGATTCCTTCATCTACTTAGCTCATCAACTCATTCAACTTAGCTGTAACACCAGCTGCAGGCCAGGGTCTTCTTTCCTGGCAGCCCACGGTTGACGGGGAGGCAGGTCAGACGCCAGGGTCTCTCCTTTCAGGACGTGGCGGGGCTGGGTTCGATTTATTCCCCCCCCCATCCATTGGGTTGTTTCCTTTCCTTTCCTTTGCGTCCCTCTTTATTTTTTTTTTACCCTTTATGACATTTTCAGCTATCGGCTAATCAATTGCATATTTTCGGGCACAAGCAAAACAAGGAGAGAGAATACAATGTCAAAGTGATTTTCGAGCTTGTGTGGGAATCGTAGCTTCTAAAAGAAATTCTCCCTACACCTCGGTACTTTTCTGCTAAATATTATCCCCTGCATCTTGCTTGGCGGGGTGTGGAGGGACCACTTAGGAGGTGTCAGCGTGGTTTTTTCTGTGGCATTTCACCACGTCGCAACAAAAGCCTCAGCCAGCAGTGGCTTTGCGAGCTGAGCCGAGTGGGCTTTCTCTCCACATCGCGCTTGGGGCTGGCCGGTGGGGAGGCTGGGGCTGCTCACGGTCAAGGCCGTGGGGCGGAGTCGGAGCAAGGTGTGGCTGGAACGCCAGGGAAAGCGTGGGGCTCTCCAGGCTGCTGGGGGAGACGTTTCTCGGGCACCTTCTTGTGTTTAATGAGACAGTCGTCTCTCTGTGGCCGTTGATTGTCAACCGAGTTTTGGACTCGGGACGACACGATGTCGTCCGAGCCTCACAGTTATTGCTGCAGACGTGCCGATGAATGGAGGAGGCACTGGCGGCGTCTGGGGGTGGCTGCCTTAATAGCCCCACGTTGACTTTGATTAGAGTGACCTTCACCTTCCAAATCGGGATGCTTTTGAGAGCCGGAGAGGACGCTGAGAACAATGGCAGCAGAGCAGCACTCACGAGCAGGCCCCGTCCTGGGCCAGCGCTGGCTTTCAGGGCCCTGTGCTGGGTGGGAGTGACTGCTGCCAGTCACACGGCAGAGCCAACCTGTCTTTGGCGTGTGGGTCGGCAATGCCCCTGGGCAGTGCAAATACGCCAAGATTTTCCTAGAGTGTCTTTGGACAGGTGAGGGCCGTTAGAGTGACCAGCGTCTGTTTTGCAAAAATCCACCTGCTGCTGACACGCTCCACGTGAGCCCGGGCCCTTCTCAGTCTCTCCCCTGTTTGGGCCTGTGGCACACACTGACTGGCCTCAGTTTGGAGGGGGCCTTCTTGGGGCCCCACAGACCCCCTCCCCTGCGTCTCCGCACACCGGGGTTCCGAGGAGGCCTGTGGATCCGTCTGCTCCCACTGGTCTGAGCCCTTTGAGTGCAGGTTTCAAGTCTGAGTCATTTGGGTCTCAGAACAGGGTCTGGCCCAGAGGAGGAGCAGCGTATTTGGGGTTGGGCCAGGGTAAGGGGCTGGTGGAGAGTTTTCCTAGAAAAACTAGCCGAGGTCAGGCTGTACCGGATGTGTCCAGCCACAACACCCTGGGAGGTAAGACGGCCGGTGACCCACTCAGTCACACTGCGGTCAGGGAGCCCCGGCTCCGGGCAGGGGAGGAGGGAGGGGGCTGCTTGACTCTCTGCAAGTCTCTGCTGGATTCTCCAAAGTTCTCTGCGGAGCTTCTGGGTTTTATCAGAGCTTCCTAACAGGAGGTGGAAGAGACAGTTAGTAAGCACCTACTGTGTGCCGGGGGGGCCCTGGGCTGGGTGCTTTTGCAGCTCCCGTGCCCTTTAATGCTCCCGGCAGTCCTGGGAGGGAGGTGTTAGCGTCTGCACGTTTGCAGGTGAAACCGAGCTCCAGGAGGTAGTTGCCGCTTCTGAAGCCGGGCCCTCAGGCTCTCCAAGGCCTGTGCGGTTCCCTCGTTCATTCATTCACGTGTTGGTTTGTGCAGGTAGCATTTTATTCTCGGCTTCTCATTCAGCGCAGACACAGAACCAGGCTGTGTGCTGGGAGCTTGGACAGGGGAAGCCCTGAGCGGCTGTGGGCGGGGGCTCCTGACCCAGGCTGGGGAGCCGGGAAGACGCCTCCGAGGCCCCGAGCCACCTTGAGTCTGCGTGGGCGCGAGTCAGGACCCGGAGGTGAATGCAGGGGTGAGGCGGGGTGCACGGCTTTCCAGGCAGGGGGAACAGTAGTGGGGGGCTCCAGCAGTGCCAGGAAAGCCCGAAAGGTGGGGGGGCCTGGCCGGGCGGGTGTGGCCTCCTGAGCCGACCGGAGGACCGGGAACGGCCTGGTCCCAGTAGGTTCCAGCACATTCCTTCTGGAGGCTGGTGTGGTGTGGCCGTGGTGGTGGAGGCTGAGACCAGCAGAAGGCCGGACGAGGCTGGGGGTGCGTCGGCGAGAGGCACAGGGGGTCGGGGGGGCCTGGAGTCAGACCTCTTTCCTAGACTCAGCTTTCCATACAGTCGGCGCCTAACGGCTGCTTGCTCCTTGGCGTCCTGGCCGAGACCCAGGTTCTTCTCCTTTGAGTGCCCCGGTCCAAGTCCGCTTACGGTACCTAAGGAGCAATAGATAAATGCCTTTGAGAAGGAGACAGAAAGGAACCATTCTATGAAAGAATGAGACTAAAAAGCAAGCCCTTAAAAACGGAGGGGATTTTCAACGCGTGCCGGGCTGGGAGGACCCGCAGCCTCCTGAGCTGGGCTCACTGGGCCTTTAAGGGGGGCCAGGCTCGTGGCTCATTACGTCCCTTCTGTAACCAGTGAAGAAGTGGGAACAGAGAGGTTGAGTGACTTGCCCAGTGTCCCACAGCCCGGCAGCACCTGAGACTGAATTTGAACTCCGTTTCCTCTGACTTCAAAGTCCAGGCTCTTCTCCACGGCAGAAGCAGCCAGTGGCCAACAGCAGCAGCAGTAAAAGTGAGGCCATTTATTGATGCCACCTCTGCCTCAGGGCCTTTGCATGTGCCGTTCCCTCTGCTTCAGTTCTCTTTCCCCAGGTCTGAGCGTGGCTGGCTTCTCTCATTATTCCTGTGTGGGGTGACGTCACCTCTTCAGACAGGCCTTTCTTAATCATCCAGTTGAAAGGGAACCCTCCGCCTTACCCCCACCTCCTTACCTGCTCGGCCTGCTCCCGGGTGCACGTGTTATCTGAACGTGTCTGTCTACTGTGCGTTGACTCGACTGCTCGTGTTCCGTTCCTGGAGGGCAGGGATCCTTGCTTTTCCACTGCTCTTGCTGGCACCTGGCGCAGTGGGCACGTGGGGCCGTGGCAGATATCTGTTGACTGAGCCGAGCTTCGTGCATCCATCCCACCCTCCTCCCTAGTTCCGTTGCCCCCACCCACGTGCACGGAGGATGCACGACTCGCTCAAGGTCGCCCTGCCCAACGGGAGCCAGGACGGAAGCCCGGGCGGCCTCCCTGCGCTGGGGCCCAGCGCTCTGCGTTGCTCGCGCTGTGCTGTTTGTGGACCAGGTGTAGACGCGTCCCAGCGCAGAGCTGTTTGTCTGGGCAACGCGGCCCCCCTCTGCGGATGGGCTGCAGGCGGAGAACGCTCCCTTCCCTCATGCGGCCAACCGCTGCTGTGGCTCCATAAATATTAAATGGGTATTAAAAGAAGGCGCCGCGTTCCCAGTTCCCCTGATCTCTCCGAGCAGGGCCCGCTGCAAACCCCCTTTATGTGGAATGCAGCATTTCGCCGCAGAGCGCCTCTGGGATGCCTCGCTGCCTGCCTTTTCCAGCCGGCTCCCTCGGTGCAGAGCGGCTCTCCCAGCGCCAGCCGTCCCCGCGCCGGTGCCTGCTTCTCTGGGGAAGGGGTGGGCGGAAGCCCCTGGGAGCCCCCTTCACAGGGCTGTGCCCTGGCCAGCCTCCTGGCAGGGCTGTGGGGTGGGCAAGGCGGAGAGGGGTGATGCTGCTGCAGTCTTCAGCTGAGCCCTCTTGACACCCATTGCCTGGCCTGTGCTGAGAGAGTCCACCCATCCCTGTGTCTGTCCCTCCATCCGTTGTCCCTGCATCCGTCCCTCCTTCCACCTGTCCCTCCATCATCTCCATCCATCCATCCATCCATCCATCCATCCATCCATCCATCCATCCATCCATCCATCCATCGATTCAGTATTCGTGGAGGATTTGTGATAGGCCCTGGAGTGATAATCATATAAAAATAGCAATAGCTGGCATTTATTGAGCACTTAGTATGCGCTGGGCTCTGGGATAAGCAGTTTATGCTTGTCACCTCGTTTCCTCTCCAGGACTCTGTGAGGGCGGGGCTGCTGTCCTCTCCATCTTGTGGGGGAGGAAATGGAGCCCCTGGAGGTTAAACCACTTGCGCAGGGTCACAGGGCCGGTGGGGCTGCGGGGACATCCAGAGTAAGCAAGGGACGCCCAGGCCCTGCCCTCGAGGGACACCCAGGCTCTTCCTGGGGCCTGGGCCGCCGGCTTCTCTGAGGAGACCCTGGCGTTGTGAGAGGGCGGGTGAGTTGGCCGGAGAGGAGGACGGAGAAGTCCGGCAGAAGGAGCCGGAACCTGGGGCCAGGCAGCCTGGGTCTGGGTCTCAGCTCTGCCACCTGCGCTCTGTGCGGTGCTGGCAGCAGACCTGGCTTCTCTGAGACTCGCCCTTCTCATTTGCAAAACGAGAGATGCAGGGCACCTGGCTCTTAGGAGGTGCAAGAGCCCAGTGGGCACTGGCCTGTGGCCCGAGTAGGGCAGGGCCTTGTGGTCAGGGGTCCTTGTCAGAGCCACGGCAAGGAGGTCAAGCCAGGGTTGACGCGGTCAGCTTGCATTTGTGGGAGAGGAGAGTTCCCAGGGCCCTGTCAGGCAGCCCAGCTCCTGTGGCTGGGCCCTGGGCTCACACTCGACACCCCCGCACCACGTGCGCCCCAGCACCCGGGCAGCACCAGCTGGCGGTGGGCCCTCAGTCCCCGGGCACCACGTTGACCTGAACAGTGATTGTGACAGTCACAGCTAGTGTTAGCTGGACACTCGGTGCCTGCCAGGCGTTGGCCTCAGGAGTCAGGCTTCCTTCCTCCTCCATTTGCACACTTGCACCTGGGAGGTGGCACTACTATTGTCAAAGCCACGTCCCAGGAGAGGAGGCTGAGGCCCAGAGAGGTTAGGAAGTTGGCCCAGGGTCACACAGCAAGGCAGCCAATGCTGAGGCTCCGGGCAGCCTGGCTCAGAGCAGCAGGAGCCCTCGGCGTATGGTCCCTGGCCTCTCCCAGGGCCTCTCGGTGCCGGGCGGCAGTGACAGGCAGGACGGGAGCAGGCGTCTTTGTGAGCCCCGCGGCCAGCAGACCCCACCCCACCCCCGCAGAGCCTGCTGCGCTGGCACCTGCAGGCAAAGCCCGTCCACTCAGGAGCGCCAGGGCCGAAGGGCCAGGGCAAGGGTGTCCTGAGGAAAAGCAGATTTATTTCCTGTCTTCCCAGGTGGAGAAGAGGGGGCTGCCGAGTGGGCCGGGACGCGCTTTTGGCGATGGGTGGGGGGGGGAGGAGGAGGATGTTGCTATTTATTTCACCTTTTATGGAGATGATCGAGGTTTTTAAAAAATTAATAACCCATTTCTCCTTTGCACATAATTAAAATGTTCTCCAGTCTCTAATTTTTGCCATTTTCCTAATCTAATTTGTTTTCTGACTGTGTCGATTCTTCTTCCAAGCGCAAAGCAAAGGGGATTTTTCTTCGTTTAATGTGATTGGGACACGACTGTCCAGGAATAGTTTAAATGATGTTATTTTCTCCTTGGTTAAATACAGTGCAGATGGAATCGTCGGAGGGTCTTAATGGCCAGAAACTGAAAACAACAACAAAACATCTTCAAGGCATTTCCTATTTATACAGTCTTAAAAAATAATTATGAAAGGGAGCGAGAAAAACCGATGGTCTTAGCAAGGAGGTGTCTGTCGGCCATCAGATTGAGTGTGCAGGGGCAGGATGGGGTCTCGCCCGGTGCCTGAGTTTCCAGGCTTCTCCGTAGCTGGGCTGGAAGGGGCGTTTTAGTCCAGTAAATATGAATACGAACTGCACTTTGCAATGAAAGGCATGATAAAAAATGATAGCATTGGGAAGCTGCGATTCCAAGTAGATTCAAGAATTGACGGGGATGCCAGGATTCCTGAGATCCTTGCAAGGGAGCTGGGAGTGAGGTGGGGGGGGAGAGCGATCCCTCCTCCCGCCGCCCCCCAGCGCCCCCCCCCCCCCCCCCCCCGAGACCGGGAGGTGTGTGGCAATCCCTGTCCGGGAAAGTCCCTCCTCCGGGGCCACTAGGAGGCACCTCCAGGTGAAATCGATGTTGAGGAAGGAATTCCCGCCTGGGCCTTCCGCACCTGCCCAGGCTTGCAGGGGTGGGGGCCCGAGGGGCAGGGCTAGGGCTGGAGGGGGCTCCTTGCTACTCCCCAGTTCTTAGAGTCAAACTTAACTCACCTGTTTACAAAACACCAGCCGCTGTCTTGCCCCGGCTCCCCGTCACCCCAGAGGTTCTGGAGGATTCTGTGGAAGGGGGAAAAAAGGGCCTGAAGTATTTAAACACGTTGGGCCATGCACGCATCTGTCCCCGGCGCTGCGGGTTGTTTTTCTTTTCTTTCTTTTTTTTTTTTTTTTCCTGGTCCCCTCCCTCCCTTCCCTTTTCTTTTTACCAAAGTATATTCATCAAACTGCTGAGTTGGAAAGATTTGTAATGAGTTTTTGAGCTGTACGACTGTGTTTTTCCCCTCTCCCCCCCGCCCTCTCCCTCTTTCTAAATCTTCATCTGACATTAAATAAAGCAAATCCCAAACAGATTAACTGTCGCACGGTTCTGCTCCGTCTCCTCAGTCTGCTTCCAGGTCTGGCGGGGGGCCGGGCGGCGGCGGCGGCGGCGGCGGGAGATGCCCGGGCGGCCCGCGGACGTCCATGTGGCGCTCTAGGTGGGACGCCGGCGTGCTGAAGGCGGAGGCCCTGGCGCTGCTCCCCTGCGGCCTGGGCATGGCGTTCTCCCAGTCGCACGTGATGGCCGGGCGGCGGCACCAGCACGGCCGGCTCATCGTCGAGGTGGACGAGTACAGCTCCAACCCCACCCAGGCCTTCACCTTCTACAACATCAACCAGGGCCGCTTCCAGCCTCCGCACGTGCAGATGTGAGTGGGCGGCCGCGGCGGGCCGGCGGGCGGGTGGTGGCGGCCCCGGGTGCCCCCTGGCCTCCTGGCGCAGTTAACAAGCCTTGAATGTTTGTCGACTGAACCAGTTCTGGAATCCTAGGATCATCGGGGCCCCGAGTTGGGAGGGACCCAGGAGAAGCTGCAGATTGGTGGCCTGTGGGCGATTCTGGCCCGCAGTCCTGTTTTATTTGGCCGGGAGAATGTTTCACAGATATTTAAAACGAGGTGAATGCGTATGAAAACCCAGACTTCTGGCTTCACTGGGGAAACCCCAAAGGCCTGGCAACTCCAGGCCCACACGTCCTCTTGGCAACGTCTCGGGGGCTGAAATCCGGCTCCTCGTCTTGGCGTTCGGGCTGGCGACCCTCGTCTGATTGACTCCTCATTGTACAGATGGGGAGACTGAGTCCCGGAGGGGGTGAGGTCCTTGCAGCAGGCCCCCTGGCAGGGGGCCTAGTCTTGGGCCGACTGTCTCCCCTGCACCCCTGACCCCTTCCCTTCCTCTAGACCCCTGCGCTTCCGCTGTGAGAGCAGAGACGCTTTTCCAGGACTGGGGAGTCTGCCGCCCGCCCCTCGGGGCTGTGCTGGCAATACCAGGGGTGCCGGAGCATGAGGCCTTGGGGGTGCACAGACCCGGGACCCCCTTAGAGCAGCTCCCAGGACTTGTGCCAACGCCTGTGCCCGGCCAAGATCCCCGGATTTTCTCTGAGGTCCTGGAGAGGTATGGGTAGCCCAGGGTGGAGGTGCATAAGCTCCTGGCCCTGCTCTGTGACTCCCTGTGTCCCTGGGGGACCGGACCCTCCTCCTTTATCCCCGTTGCCCCTCCCATTGGTCCTGCGAGGCAGAGCCTACCTGGTGGGGACCCAGGGGCCCAGACAGGTGAGGTGACCCCCCTCCCGGCCTACCCAGGTGGCCAGCGCCAGAGCTGGCCTCGCAGGCTGGCGGCCTGACCCCGGTGCCCGGCTCTCTGCATGCCGGGCGTCTCCGCATCCTTTGCTTGTGGCGTCTGGGGATGTGGGCTCCCCCACCTGAGAGCCAGGCCGTCTGTCCCTCGGCCCTTGCGCCTTCTCTGGCCGCTCTGGAGCCCGTCTGTGCTGGGCCTGCTCACAGGAGACCCCTGCAGAGCGGGCGGGTGGCAGCGCAGGGATGAGAGCTGTGATGAGGGGTCCCGGCACTGTGGGCGCAGAGCAGGCCCTCCTGAGGGGTCCCAGCACTGGGCCTCCACGGGGACTGTGAGCACCGTCTCTGGGCAGAGGTGTCCTCGAGGTGTCCCAGCCACTGCCCCTCAGGGACACTGGAGGAGCCACGTGGGGACCCTCAGAGGCGGGGCCTGGCCTGGCGGTGTGTGTGCCGCCCTCCTTCCTGCTGCGGTCCCTCCTGGCAGGGCTCACCGGGCTGGGGGGTGGGGGGGATCTGGCACCAGGAACACCCTCCTCTCCGGCACTTGCTCAGGAAAGCGCTGTTTCTGTGTGGGCGGCAGGACGGTTGTCAGTGGCTGCCTGCTGTGTCTTCTGGTATGTTCTATTTGGGCACCTGCCTCTGGTTTTCTGGCTCGGGAGCCAGACTGGTGGATTTGGGCAGTATGGGAGGCCGGGGATCCCAGGACTGCTCTGCAGGTAGTCGGACTGTGAGGCCCCGGGGCGGGGGCCCTTCCCTGGGCTGGCTTTCTCTCTTGCTGGTGGGGCCAGTTCTCCAGGCGGGTGGGGCGGAGGTGACTGTGCCTGAGGTCCCTGGAGGCTGGGCTGGCCGCCTGCCCCATGGGATGGAGAGGGAGGGAGCTGGGCCTCACAGAGCAGGTGGGGCTTGCGCGTCTGCACCTGGGTGGGAGCCCGTCACCCTGTCAGAGCGTCCCTGGCCCCACAGGCAGGACCGTGCAGAGCTGTTGTTTACGGCACCCTTCCTGGGCCAGGCAGACACCTGGGGAGCCCCTAGTCTGAGCACAGAGTCAGGGAAACGGGAAGGCAGGGAGGAGGCTCCTGACAGTTTCAGGGGATCCAGAAAGGACCCCCCTGGAGAAGGTAACTTCTAGGTCGAGACCCCGAGAAGGAGGAGGGGGCGTGAGGAGGGAGTGGGCCAGGCAGGAGGAGCTGCAGGGCCATGGCCGGGAGGTGGCTGGGAGAAGAGGGTGTCTGAGAACTGCAGAGCCACCCAGCTGGGCCATGCGGCCCCGTGTGGGAGATGCTAGGCCCTGAGGGCCGGCCTGTGTCCTGAGGAAGGGCACTGAATGTCCCAGTGAGAGAGGAGTGACTGCTCCCATCTAACTGAGCAACTGGCGGTTGTCTGTTGCTTTGTCCATTCATTCGGGACAGCTGTGAGCAGCTGAGTGGGTCACTGGTCAGGAACTCAGGCTCTGGGCCAGCCTGCTGGCCGGCTTCATGCCTCTTGGTGCCTCGGTTTCCCCAACCATAGACTGCTGCTCACAGTAATAGTGGAATGAAATAGGTAGATCCTCACAGAACAGGGCCTGGTGCGTAGCAGCAAATCTTTAGCACCGTTAGCACACGCCAGGCCTGGGCTGGGTGTCACAGCCGTGACCCAGCAGTGGCCGCAGACCAGCCCCTGCCCACACGGAGCTCACGTCCAGCGGGATGGCGGACGTTGGCAAACACGTCTCAAGTGTGTGACACTGGGAGTGAGTGCTGTGGCGCAAGAGCTTAGTGGCTCTCGTGGTCCAGCTGGGGGCTGGGTGGCCCGGCAGGACTCAGGCCTGGCCTGTCCACTCCCACCGTGGGCTGCTCTGTGCAGCGTGGCGTGAGGGCTCCTGGCTTCCACCGGCAGTGGGGCCCCGAGGCGGCCGGGCTTTGAGAAGGGGCCCAGGAAGAGCGTGCACGGGGCTCCGGCTTTGAGACACAATTTCGCAGGCAGCCCGGTGAAGCCAGGCGGGCGGGGACGGGGGCTGTGGCCTCCCTTCATTCCGTGTGCAGGCGCCAGAGGTGGCCGCGTGGGCTTCCGTGGCGAGTCAGCTGCTCCACCTTGGGGGGTGGCGGGGGATGGACGCCACTTCCCGACTTGTGATTTGTTGCCGCCCTGGGCTTTGTTTCCAGGTGAGGCAGTGACGGGGCCTTATTTTAAAAAATCCACAGTTTATATTTAACAACAACAGCGACAGTCCAAGCGTGGCCTCTGACTGAGCCGTGTGACTGACACAGTTGCCCCGGACACCCTGCAGGCGAGGAGGCCGCCTTTGCCTGAGTCGGCATCCCCAGGCCTGGGCCCGGCTGTGGCCCTGAGGTGGAGATGCCATGTGCGGGCTGGGAAATCCTCTGGGCCCTGGGAGGGCGGGCGGACGAGGACTCGGGGCCGGCAAGGGTGAGAGCCGCGGGACAGGGTTGTCCTGCAGGGCTCCTGGGGCCTCTGGGGGCCACGGCGTCAGGCACAGCCACTGTCCTCCCTGGCCTTTGACAGCAATCACGGGGAGACTAGAGTTACCCTCTGAAGACCCCTGAGCCTCCAGGGAGCCCTGGGTCTTGGGGAATGTGGTGGAGGGGCTGGGAGGGCACGCAGGCCTGGCGTGGCCCCTTTGCACCCTGTTCCCGGCCCTCCCAGCTGGGCCAGGCCGGGCGCTGGCCCCTCCACAGATGAGCCAGCCAAGCTCGGGCCGCGTCCACCCGCTGAGAGGTCAGGGAGACGGTGGGCGTGGCCTGGAGCCCGGGAGGAGGGGGGCAAGGCAGGAGGGGACACTCAAACCGGGCTCTGTCTGGCTCTCAAGCCTCATCCTGCTCCTCCCTGCCCCCACACTGAGCAACAGACACAGAAGCTGCTCCCAGTTTCTTGAACGTTCCATTCTTCCTCCTGCCTCAGGTCTTTGCACATGCTGTTCCCAGTGCTTCCCTGTCTCTTTGCCCTGTAAGCGCCGACTCCTTTCCCAGATCCCACCCAGGTGTCACTTCTTCACAGAAGTGTTCCCTGGCCCCTCCCCAGACCAGGTCACCCCCTGGCTCAGCTCTAGGTGCTCAGAGTCCCCCACTCCCCACTTGGTGGGATGCGCTTCAGTCTGTGCTAACATGTCCATCTTTGGAACAATTTCCCAAGTGAGTGTCCCCTCCGCCAGCTTGGGGCTGCGTCCCTGAGTCTAGCACAGAGAATGGGAAGAAGGAAAGAAAAGGGAGCGAGGACAAGGCAGGGAGCAAGGCCCCAGGAAGAGTGTCGGGAATCAGGGAGGGCCTCCTGGGGGTGGTGGCATAAGCCCTGGGCTTGGAGGACCAGCAGCGCTTTGACCCAGGTGGGGCCGGCCACTCTAGGTGGCAGGGTCGGCGGAAGCACAGGCTGGGAGGTGGGAAGGAAGGGCAGGCATCAGGGCACAGTGGGTGGTGTGGCCGGGTCACCTTGTGACCAGGTCACCAGCACTTCATGGGAACAGCATTGGGCAGGGAGTCAGGGCGGCTGTTGTGTGATCCTGAGCCAGCCAGTCACTGTCCCTCCCCAGGCCTCAGTGTCCCCATTTGTAAAATGAGAGGAAGGGACTAGAGGTCCTTCCTGTTCCAAAATGCCATGGTTGATGCCCAGTCCCATGACTGGACTTGTTGGAACCTCTGTCCTCTCCTGGACCCTCAGAGGACCCCATTTTCCCGTGGCTGGGGTGGCAGCCTCTGCTTCTGATGGTCTTGTGGGCTTTGGGCATCAGGATGGGAGGGAGGGACCCAGGCGCAGGGTGCAGGGAGACTGTAGGGTGGCACATTAGGACTTCCGGCTGTGCAGCTTGTTTAAGTTCTCACAGCATCCCAAAGAGAGGGTGGCCTGTCCCCCCACTGCAGAGCTGGATGGAGTTTGGGAGGGTTGGGGGCCCGTTGGGGAGTTCTTCCGGGGGCCGGTTGCCAGCTTGGTTTTCGTTGCGTCCCCTTTCCGGTTGCCCGGTTTCCCTTGGGAGGTTCGGGGTTTGGGTTGGGGGGGGCGGGGGAGTCTGGTTTTGGTTCCACCAACCAGGGGTCCTTTTTTTTTTTCCTTTTTTTTTGGCTTTTGCGGATTTTACCGGGGAATTACCCTTTTTGTTTTTGGGTTTTTTTTTTTTTTGGTCACAATAAGGTATTGAGATTAGATGCCTAGATTCCTGTTGCGAAGACTTGGGTTCAAATTCTGTTCTTTAACTTACTAGCTAGGACCTTGGGCTTGGGACTAGCTTTTCCAGGCCTCAGTTACTTCATCCACAGGCCTGTTATAACCCAGGTGTTAGCCAGGGTTTTGTCACTGCAAGTGCCACAAACACAACTTAAATGGCTTTGAGTATGAAAAGGCGTTTACTGGCTCATGTCATTGGCTAGGAAGTTCAGGTTTGGGTCTAGCTTCAAGTATAGCTGGGTCTAGGGGTCAAATGACAGATGCCCTCTCACACACTTTTTGCTTTTTTTGTCACTTCAGACACAGGCAGGGTTTCTGGGAGCTCCTCTGTGGGTAACGTGTCTGCACACCTAGCGGGTACCTAGCATTTAGGAGACTCAGTAAGCATTTGTACGTAGGTTGAATGAAATGAAGTTGGGCCTGGAAATAATAGTCCAGCCTGGTGTGAGTTCTAGAACCAAAAATGAGCTTCAAATTTCAGCTCCTGTAGCTGGGATCATGGGCCAGTCTGCTTTTCTGGATCCTCAGTTTCCCCACCTGTGAAGTGGGGCCACCCATAGTGCCTGCTTCGATGGCCATTGTGAGGGTGAAGAGAGCGGCTGCCTGCAACGTGCTTAGCACGTGGTGAGCCCCCCCGTACGTGGGGGTCCGAATAGCATGATTGTTGTTGTTATTTCAAAGTCGAGGATTTGTTGCAATCCAAATAGCCGGAGGACTGTGCAGGGAAATGAGTCTGTTTTTTTCTCTGGAGATTACGAGGTTCACATCTTCACTGTGTTCCAGAAGCCTCAGGGTGTAGGGAAATAAGAGCAGAGTTAATTAAAGAGCTCTGGCTCTGGCAGCGGGCTGGGCCCAGAACCCGCGCTGTCCCCGGCCGGTGGCAGTGGGAGCTGTCCCCGCTCAGGGCTCCTGGGAGAGGCGGGGTGATTGCTGCCGTCTAAGGCAGCTCTGGGGGTGCCATCGTGCTGCTGTGTCTGCCTTCTTTGTCTCTCTGACTTGGTCTCTGTCGCCTTGTGGCATCTTCAAAACCTGAGAGAGACAGACAATATGAGCGAATGGATTTGATTGGCTCACTAGCGGTCCTGAGCCAATGGCCCGGTAGTGATTGGCTGCCCTGGGTCCAATCAGCTGTGGGGCGGGCAGGGCGTGCAGGTGGAGCAGGTGGAGCCGCAGGCGGCTGGACTGCCTGTCTTGGGGGAGGGAGGGTATCGGGGACCCTGGAGGACAGAGCGTTGGTGGGAATTAGTGGGAGGCAGATTTCGGGCTTCCAGACCTGCTGGGGCGTTGCCTCCTGCTGGAAGGTTCCAGGAGGCCCCAGGCCAGGTTAGGGCCTTGGCTGGCCCTCAGCCTCTCTGCTGTCGCATCAGCGGAGGTCGATGTCTGGCCGAGTCTGCTTCTACCATTAGCCCGTGGGCTCCTGGTGGGCAGCCATCAGGCCTGGTTCACCCCTGTGGCCCCTCGTGAGCTCAGGGCTGGCACACGGGGCATTTAGGGTGTGTTGCCTTGAATGAATGAATGAATGAATGTCGAGTGAGTGAATGAATGAATGGATGAATGGAGAGAGAAGAGGAAGAGCTGTCAGCACCTTCCTGATTGGTCATCACTGGACCCACTCAGGGACTTCCCTCTCCTCCCCAGTCGGCCCGCCCGACCTGCCGGGACCCTCCCTTGGCTTAACAGGCCCGGCAGGGGCTGGGGGGCCCCTCCCGCCGTGCCGTGGCCGTGGCGGAGGCTGGCGTGGTGCCCCTGCCTGGCGGGTGGAGCCTGCGAAGGCTCCCTGCACATTAGCATGCCGAGCCCACGTCTCTTGTAAGGTGTTAATTAAATTTCTTCGAAGTATATTGTCTGAAAAAAAAAAAGGATAATTAGAAAGATGTCTTTAAAAGTATTTATGTAACTGATATGGTACCGCTTTTGGTTTGCCGCATAATTAGATTTAAACACAACTCCTCGAGCGGCATACTCATTTGGAGGGCGCTGCTTGTTGAAATGTCATTGTGTTGTTTTTAAGAGTTTTGAGCCCGGCAAAGTCATTCAGCTTGGTGGGGGGGGGGTGCAGCGTGCAGCGAGAGCACTGGACTGGGAGCCTCCAGCCCGGCACCAGCTTCGTAGCCATGTCCACATCTACGCACCAGAGGGGCCCAGGGCCACTCGCTCAGCCTGGCTGGATCTCAGTGTCCTCATCTGTCACGAGATGGGCTCTCGAGGAACAAGAGCCTGTTATATATTTGTGCCGCTTTTTAAAATGTTCTGTGTGTTGTGCTCGGTGAAGCAGCTCCACTCCACAGATGCACAGACCAGCCGGGCAGGGCCGGGCTTCCGAGCCCGGGAGTGTCTTCCTGCGAGATCCCGCGAGGCCCTCGGCCTGCAGTGGGCCAGCCTCTCTCACAGCTTGGAAAAGCTGCCTTTATCTCGCAGGTGCCCGTGGCGTTCCCTGTCCCACGTTGCTCTCCTGGGTGGTGCGTGTGTCGGGTGCGGCGCTGGGGCGTCAGTCCCCGCCACTGTCAGCGGGGGCGACGGCACCCCTGGGGCGGAAACCGGTTTGGAGGTGGACAGAAGTCTTGCTCCTCTTAGTCTAAAGCCTGGGTGGATATACTGCGTGTCCACAGACACGCAGCGTGTCCGTGGAGGTCAGACCTCACGGGAGGAGGGCGGGTGGGGACAGACATCGGAAAGGCCGCTCTGTGGTGAGAGTGAACAGAGACAGAAGCCTGAGCTGCCGCCACTCGAGCTGCCCTGCCGTGCGCAGCGGCCAGGCCCTCGCTGTACCCGCCCTGCTGCCCACCATCGCCTTCAACCCCCTCAGCGGCCCGCTGAGCTCCCGTTCCCAGGTTACAGAGGGGGAAACTGAGGCTCCAGGGCCTAAAGTGTTTCTCCTGGCTATTGAGTGGGGCAGTCGGGATGTAGACCCAGGTCGAAGGCTGGGCGTCCAGCCCAGGGTCTGCGGCTCTGCCCTGAGTTGACGGGGCCGTGAGCCACAGCCTCGGCTGCATGCGGAGACGCCCCACCCGCGGGTGCGGCTCTCCGGCCCCCTGACCTGCAGTGTGTTCTCTCGCCGCAGGGTGGACCCGGTGCCTCACGACGCCCCCAAGCCTCCTGGCTACACCCGCTTTGTCTGTGTCTCTGACACCCACTCGCGGACGGACCCCATCCAGATGCCCTACGGCGACGTGCTGATCCACGCCGGGGACTTCACCGAGCTGGGGCTCCCGAGCGAGGTGAAGAAGTTCAACGAGTGGCTCGGTAGGTCCCCTCTGCCCAGGGCGGGCCCCCTCCCGAGGCTGCCCCTCCGTCCCAGCCTGGACTTGGTCTGTCCATTCCCCCTCCCTGCCCCTACCCCCTAGGACCTCTCCCACCCCGGCACCTGTCTCGGCTGTGACATTCCATTCGTGTGTGGGATGTTTTTGGCCTGGGGGACCCCTCCAAAGGGACTTTGTTCACATCTGTTTCTCTACTTGTGTGTCCTGCCCCAGTGCCCGGCACAGGTAGGTGCTTCAGTGAATGACTGACGAACGAATGAATGGCTGATGGGGCGAATGAACGAATGACTGTAAGCATGGCGATGCCGGGGTAGATGCTCAGCTGGTCTGTACTAGCTCAGCCACCCACTGCCATCGAGATGGTGTCCCCAGTGAGGGGACACAGCAGCCTCTGCGGGCCCGGGGGCCAGATGTGGCCCCTCCCGCAGGCAGCTGTTGGTACGGGCAGCAGAGCACATTCCCACGCGGCGCGTGGCGGCGGTGATGATTTACAACACGTCCCCGGGGTTTTGTCTTTGTGCTTTTTTTTCTAAAATAAGAAATAAATAAACCTGGGAGGGCCCCCCTGGGAAAAGCCGCTTGCCTTGGAATCCAGAGAACCTCACTGTGGGGAAGACAGATGGATGGCCCCTGCGCCGGCCGGCCTCGGGCCTGCTGTCACGGCGGCGTGGGTGCGGGGCGGCTCACCCCCAGCGCAGGCCGTGTGGCTGCCAGACGGTCCCTCCTGCCTCCCCAGGGGCGTCCCGCTGTGCACTTGGCTGGGAGCTGCTCGCACAGAGGGCCGGGCGCGAGGCAGGGCGCCTCGGCCAGCAGGGGCCTGGCTCTGCCAGGCGGGACAAATATTTACAAGCAAGGCCTTCCCTTCTGCTTGGCAGGCCGAGGGCTTTAAATATTGATTTTCCAAAGGGGAGGTTCTGATCAAGGGCCCGTTGGGGCTGGATGAAGTGGAGGTTGTGGGGCCAGGGCTCCTGCAGGGGCTGCCGCCGGCCGCTCACCCGGCCCTGCCGCCTCCGCCTCTGGTCTGCCCCCCAGGAGGGGCCCTTCGCCCAGGGGGCCTCTTATTCCATCTGCCTCGGGTCTCAAAAGACGTGAGGCCCCACTGGGCTGAGTCAAGGGGCTGTCTCCAAGGCAGAGACCAGAGTCACTGTGGGCCTACTATGTGCCGGGTGCAGGGTGGCAGGCTCTCGGCCACCTCTGTCTTGTTGAATTTGCGAACACCCTTTGGGGTGGGTACTGTTTGCATCCCATTTGACAGAGGAGAACGGAGGTTCTGCAGGGGGGGACCATCTCTGACGTGCAGCCTGGCCTGCGGCATGCCCTGTGGGGGGAGTGAATGGACCACACGTGGGCACGGGCAGTGGGTGTGGGCACCCGGGGGCTCAGCGAGCAGGGACTGGCTGTGGCTTTCTCTGGGGCAGGAGGAGGCTTCTCAGAGAAGCCGACTTTGGGCCTGGGGGCGATGGAGGAGTTGGTGTTTGTGCAGGGGAGGGAGAAGTTCAGGCTGGGGACGGCTCAGGCCAAGGCGTGCTCAGGGACGCTTGCAAGGAGGAACGGTGTGTAGAGGTGAGAACGGCGCTGTGGGAATTTGGGGGGAGGTCTTTGTAATTCGCACCTATGGTTGGGTTGCTTTTTTATTTGCCTGGGTTATGACTGGGGGGGGAGTGTGAGCTTACAAAGGGGTCTTCCTTTTACGAAAAGTTCCTTCCCCCGGCCTCTCCCCTTTGCCGTCCGGAAGCGTTTGCGGATGGCAGGGCCCTCACTCGCGGGGTGGGCTTCAGACTGCAGAACAAGGGGCTGCTCTGGGAGTAAGTGGCAGGGGACTCGCACGTGAGTGGCAGCGTGAACAGGAGCTGCATCATAGGAGTCTGTTTGCATTTTTAGGAACTCTCCCAGGCACAGAGCGAGACTCACCTCGTGCGCCGGCGTTCAGGTCCCCAGCGTTTGGTGACCACGGCTGAGAGAGGCACTCACCCGGTGTATCTGGCCAGGCACATTTTTATATAGAACCAGTGTTTATTGAGGGTCTAGGATGTGCTAGGTGCTGTTCTACATCCTTCGTGTGTATTGCTAACTCATTTAATCCTCCTTACAATGGAATGAGGCAGGAGGTACTGTCATCCCCATTTTACAGAGGAGAAAACCAAGGCCCAGAGAAGTGCAGTAACTTGGCCAAGGTCCCGCAGCCAGTAAGCGGGATTCAAACCCAGGCAGTTGGACTCCAGAGCCAAACTCTTGGTGTCTTGTCTGTGTTGCCTCTCTTTAAGGCGACACCTGTCTGATCGGCAGCAAGGGGAAGGACTTCCTCTCTGGGCCTCCACGGCCTCCTTTCAGATGGGGGTGGCCAGGCTCTCGTGCCCTGCCTCCCTCCAGAGGTTGTTTTACAGCTCTGCTGGGATGGAGGAGATAACCAAGTTTTATGAAGTGTAGAGTTTCTGAGAAGTGTTGCTGTGTGGTCTCAGCTATCAACAGCACCCCGCACCCCAACACACGAAGAGAAAAAAGACTGGAAGGAAACATTCACTCGTCCATTATAGCTACACCACACTGAGGACCCAGTGGGTGCCAGGCGTGTCCCCAGCCCCGGTGACGGTGAGGAGAGCACATCATACAGGGCAGGGCCTGCTCAGTCTGATGAGAGGAGCCTGGGCCAGTGGGCGCGGGGACAGCAAGAGAACCGCTAGAGAGAGCGGCAGGGTCTGCCGAGGACTGACCCGGGGCTGCATGGCGACCGCCGCAGCTGGGTGGCACAGAGGCCTCCCCGAGGAGGTGACGTTGGGTGGCCGGGCCTGAGGTGGGATGAGGCAGCCTCACGTGCATTTTGGGGACCACCTGTTCCAGGCAGAGGACACAGGGCGGCAGAGGCCTGGGGTGGGGGCAGGGAGCAGGGGGTGTCGAGTGGGGGGAGTTTGAGTGGGGCCTGTGGGTTTGCACGGGCCCTTCGGGCCAGGGATGGGGGTCTGCGGCTGGTTCTAAGTTCAAGGGGAGCTTTGGGAAGGCTTTTGTCGGGGCACGCCCTTTAAACATTTTTTCCAGAGGCCATGATGATTGTAGACTCAGAGTGGATGCAGTGAGGGCAAAGGCTCCAGAATGTTCCAGAATCAATGTCTGGGTGGTGGGGTCAGGGGGTATGACTGTCTTCTTTACGGAGTGTGCTCTGCCCCTCGCTTGCACGAGCTCGCTCGCTCTCTCTCTCTGATTTTCCGTGAGTGTGGGGGGCTATATCGTTCTGGTAGCATCCGATAAAGGCAACACTCATTGGTTTTAGAAATGTTGGCTGCCCAGTCTCTCTGGAGTCTGGCTCAAAGTGTGTGTGGCGGGG